GCATGCTCTGCTATCAATAGACAGTCTAATTAAGAGCAGCACCCTCGGAGTAAGCTCTGCTCAGCTAGCAGACACTTGCTAGGATTGTATGAAAATTCCCTCTCATTAAAGCCAAACCTGAAGCTTCTGCAGATTAACAGCAGAGCGCTCTGATGGCCTCAGACTATATTATCATGAGAAGATATGATGATGTTTGTGGGCAAATATTAAAAAACAGTGATAGTTTTGTTATACTGACCTACAGTTATGAGACATCTCCATAATTCTCTGCATGAAATTTTAAGTCATGGATGACCTTGCCTGTCGTAGCAGGGGGTTATTTTGGCCCTGAAGGAGGCCATCTGTTCAGCCTGGAGTGAAAAGTATTGGACCTCTTCTAGGTCAGGCTTGCACAATAATGAGACAGGATTGGGGTAGAACTCTTTAAAATCAGAGCTTTCCACTGGACCATGCATCATCTGCCAATTGCAACAATTAGAGAGAGAGCACATCCATGCAGACAGGACTCAAACCAATGGAACAGACGAGCAGCACAGCCTGTTTCTTCTCCACGAGTGGCACAACCAAGCAGGGCAAGCTATCACAGAGATACCGGGCCCCCTCTGCAGCCCTCTGCCCCATGTTTAATGGCGATCAGGTCTGGCTGGAGGAGCTGATCGGCCTTTCGTCTAACCAGTCGTCCCCCAGCAGCCCAGGAGGCAGCAGGAGCAGCAGTGAAGGCACCAGCAGCCTGTACAGCTGGAGCTCGGGAGTGACCTGCCTCCTGCACAGCTCAATCAAGAAACAGAGCCAGGAAGCTTTTCAAAGTCGACTCAGAGAGGAGAGGAGGTGGGGGGAGCTTGCAGCATGTCCTTCCAGAAGGCCTCATGACAGAGTTCATCCACAGGCAGAGCAGGGAGGAGGCAATAATCATAACACACAGCACGCATGGCCAGAGAGAGGTGGGCTGTGTCAGGGGAGGGGCTCATCCCGGACCCACACCAGCGCTAAAAGTGTAAAATTCCAGTGGCTGCTGGAGGAAAAGATTGAAGCCAAACTGAAGTTTTCACAGTTCTTGGATGAGGTGACATCCAACGTGTTTGACCCAAACAGCCTGCAGGCTTTTGGGAGACCAGTCTCGCCCTCCAGCTCCACCACCACAAACCCAGATCAGACTGAAGAAAAGATCCAAGTGGTGACTCAGTGGAGCCCCAGGCTGTCCCACTCAATGGCCCAGCAGCAGGGCTCTTTATTCGAGCAGAAGAAGCCCCAAAAAGAGCCGACTCCCCCTGACCTGACACAGAAAACGTATCTGGAGACGGACATTGATGCTGTGAGGGCCGATGACGAGCAGCAGGATCAGGAGATAAAGGCAGATACATCGCCACAGCTGGATCTAGACGAGAAAAACGTGATTCCACCTCCTCCGCAGTTCTGTCAAGGGTTTGAGATGAAGAGTCCCTTTCTGGAGTTTTATCGTGACTTCCCCAGATACCCCTACAGATCTGCCTCTCTGCCCAGGGGCATCAACATGGTGAGTGATGAAAGCTGTCCCAGTCTTTTATCAAAGCCAGGCCTCTGAACATATGTTATGATTGGATCAGTTTTTTTTTCTCACAAAGTTTGAAGTGATGTCTGAATATATCAAGTCTTTGGGTGATTTGAGTGAGCTGTTCTTGATTTTTCAAGGGTCTTTCTGTTGCTCTATTAAGAGCATGAAGAAGTGCATGGAAAAAGGATGAAGATTTTTTTGTTGTTGTGTAATGCAGTCTATGGGTTTTTGTTTTACTGAAGATTTTAACAGCAATTCACAGGAAATTCATGCAGCACTAAAAAAAATAGAAAACATGAAAGAACAGGGCATTATGCAATATTCATTGTCAGTATTAGCTTAATGATTATCCTACATTTTAGCATTTTTTAGGCTAGCATTAACAAATTTCTGGCCACTTGGGGGCAGCAAAAATAAGCTGTAAACACGACATTGACATAGCATCACTTTATGAAGTTATAGCAAACAAGACACAGAGCAACATTATTATTCATTTGGAGTCATGTTTCTGGACAGCTGGCCCTTGTAAGTCTAATATTCACTCTTTTTTTTTTAGCTCTGTCTGTGTTCTCTGCTAACTATCTGGCTGTTTAGGTGCTAAATGCTCCACTACGGTCCCCAGCTAGTGGCTAATTTTGTCTCTCTGCTGTTTGGTGCTGAACAGTGAGTTTTTTTTTTAGGCTTTTTTTTTGTTTTGAAATAACAGCTGTCTGCTGCATCCAAAAATGATACTGATGAGAGCAGTGAACAAAAACAGTACAGTTGTGGGCCAAAACGATGAGCAGGAAGATGCTAAAAGAGAGTCATTATAATTCTCTTATAATTCTCTTTTGGTTTGTCAAGACAAGCATTTCCTTTCACATAAATAGTCATTTTTCTATTGGTTAATATTGTTATAGCTGCTCTATAACTTTATTCGTTTTTGCTGGGATACAGAAAAGTCTCAAAATACAGAAATTTCAAAGGTTAAAAAAAACAGGAGCTGATCCACACAGACGTGCTACCACTCAGCTGATCCACAGGTTCAGATGGATGATGATGTGATGGATGATGTGAGTCTGAGCAGGAGCGCTGCTTCATGCTGACCAGTGAACAGTTTTTATTTTTTCTTGGGTGTGCTCATTAGCATTCTGCCCATCAGCAGCTCCTCCACACAAACAATCTCAACTGAACAATGCAGTCATTTACTGAGTCGGCCCACTCACCAGCATTTATTGTCTGACATCCATTATTTACTCAGCTTGAGACGTAACCTTGCTAAAATGTCTGTGGATGCAGAAAACCTGTTTAAACAACTGTTTTCTGCAGGAATAGCAACTGGTGGTTTCCCCAGACTCACAGCAGCAGTGTGCATGTAACAGGAGGACAGGCTTGAAGGCTCAATTTGCAGTTACTGCATCAAAAGTGAGTGTATTTGTAAGTCACAGCATGACACTTTATCTCAGTGATAGTTAATACATTTGGCTGTGGCTAAAATTGACAGTATTTCAACTTCTAGAAATCATAAAATCATATTATTTTGCGTTCCCTGGACAACGTGAAGCATCTCTGAAGTACTGACTCCACTGTCAGAGTTTGATTTGCAGTCTGTCAACGTTTCCCCACAAACCCAAAACACACCTGACAAATCTCCGAAAATCGGAACCACTGCCATTAAATAATAAAGGAGAAGATCACATTGCCTTAATTTATTGTCTGATTAAAATTCAGCCTTTGCCGTCACCTTAGCAACTGCTTGAAAAAAGGTGGGTGGTGTGGGGGCTGCGAGGAAGGCATGTGAGCCTGTTGGTGTTCATCGCAGTGTAGTGTGTGTGTGTGTGTGTGTGTGTGTGTGTGTCGCTGCAAAGTTTCATCTCCTCACACAAGTCCTTGCAGTAACGAAACATTCTTCACAGGCACACGACCTTCATGCTGTGCACTCGCTGAAGACGCAAACTCAATTCGTGGAGCATCTCAGCGGCTTAAAAACGTATTTTCGTTGATATTCTAACCAGGTTTTGTTTCCCACTGACCCTGGAGATCAAATAATCTGTTCGCAACCGTCGCTTCCTTCATTAACTACACCAGTGAACACGCTCCATTTCCCGCCTTTTAGAACTACAGATGTTTAAACCTACTTCACCAAATCACGGACCATGATAACAGAGCAGCGCGGATGCCACACTCGATCAGGCCTGCACCCTAAACCTGAATGAAGATGAGGATTCTGTGAGAATATTCTCAAGGTGATGCATAATTCATTGCCTTCAGAAAAAGGGCCAGCAACAAACGTATTCTCCCTAACAGCCTGAGACTTGAGATGTAAGATTCAACAGATTGAACCACCTGTTCCCCCTCACCTCCCCCCCATCTCCCCTCTCTTTCTCTGTCTCTTTCCACATCTCCCCCTTTACTCTCTCTCTCTCTCTCCCTCTCTCTTCCTCTGTCTTTGCTCCCTCTCTCCGATTCAGCACCTCGATAGGGATATTGAGTTGCTGCCAGTATCCCTCATGGGGGGGGCTTGCCATGTATCTGCAGTCTGGCTGCAATGGAGGTTTCCGCTCTCCCTCCACACTCCCTCCTTCTTCTTTCCTCTCCCCCCCCCCCCGTCTCACCCTCTCCTCTCACACTCTTGGTATGATATGATTGTTCTCTTCTCACCTCATGTAAGCGTAGATGTGGACAGCCGAGTGCAGTCTGATGAGCGTTGCATGGGCTTGCTCGCGAGCGGGAGTGGAGGGGGAGAGGAGGGAGAGGAGGGGGGAACGAGCGAATGAGGGAGCAGGGAAGAGAGAGGGGAGCAGAAACATAAACAAAAACAGAGGGAAACAGAGAGCGTGCCTGCTGAATATGTATGTTTCATTTCTTTTTGGGGATGTGTGTTGCGGCGATGCTCTACTTGGCAGCTCCCGGGCCAGTTTGATGAGTCCCCTCCACTAACACACTGTTGTTATTGTCCTTTAGGTGCCTGATGAAGAGATGAACAGCATAGACACTATCAGGTGAGCTTCCCTCTCTCTCTCTCTCTCTCTCTCTCTCTCTCTCTCTCACTCTGTCTCTCCATCTCTCTCCTTCTCTTCTTTCTGCACATATCTTTCAGCGCTCCATCATCACGCCCCCGCGTTCTCCCTGTCTTCTTCCTTTAAGCTCCTTCCCTCCCACTCTTCCTCTCCGTCTTTCTACTCTTGCACAGTCTCTCTCCCTCACTCCCTCTGTCTTCCCTCCTGGCTCAACTGCTGCTGCTGCTGCTGCTACTGCTGCTGCTGCTACTGCTGTTGCTGTTGGAGTGGCGTGGTGGTGTTGGAGGTGGCGGCGGTGGCGGCGGCGGTGGTGGTGGTGGTGGTGGTTGGGTGGTGTGCATGTGTTTGGGGTTTCTCTGAGCTTTAAGGGAGAGCTGGGTAAGCCAATCCAGATAGCATATAGAAGAGGGGTTTTCTCCGCTCCCCCGGCGAGGCTCAGGCAGCAGGATTTTATCTCTCGATCCCAGGATGAAGCTCTGCGTGAGCGGAAGGTACTGCTTCACTGTTGGCGTCTTTGATTTGGATTACAAAAGCTGGCTTGATTGTGGCTGTGCCTCTGTGTGTGAATGTGCGTGTATGTGCTCATCTGTATGTGATGTGGCTGCACTCACACTGTCAGTTCGTGCTCTCTGTGTATTGATGCAGTGCTGTTAGGAATGATCTGCTTTTCTGATAGTTTGTCAAAGGGTTTTTTTTTTTTTTTTTTTGGTTGTATGCAGGAAATCTCTTGGCTTGAAATTCACTGCAGTGTATGTGGCGTTACTGTAAAAGCTTTTTCTCTGAGGGATCAATCAAAAGGGATTCTTAATTAGTCTTGATTATATTATGGTTGTAAATATGTCCATCTATGACTCTTATACATATGCTTCTACATGGTTTGGGACCGTCACCTGTCGGAATGCACCTATAGCAATAATGAATTGCTCTGCATGATAGCGCTGTTTTACCAATATGAATAACTAAGCAAGAGCAGCTCTGATTAGTGATTTTTTTGTATGTAAATTAGTAAATGAAATGACAGTCTGAAATATTCACATAAAACCAAGGTAATAACTGAACGAATGCTTTCACATGCCTGCATAAACAGGTTTTAATGAGCTCATTACAAAATTGCAAGTGCTCACCCACTTTTCTGATTAAAGTTGCATTACACGGGAATTAAAGCAGCAAGGCAAACATGACGAGATGCAGGAGAGGGCTTTTTGCAGTTTCTCCCTGCTCTCGCTCTTCTTTTTTACCTCATTGTCCTACAGTAGACACGTTTTAATTAATACTACTTACTAATGAATCATTATTAATCTGGCACAGATGGAAATAGATCCCGAGCTTTCCCTTTTGTGTTCGATTACTGATGGTATTATTACGATTTCAGGCAGATTACAGTTTAAAAGCCATTTAACCAGCCGATGAGGGGTAATTAATCCGACGGGGTGTTTCTCCAATATGAGGCATCACTTGTCCTCACCTCTGTGTCACAGCTTTAATTGAATTATAGCAGCTCTGCCGAGATAAGAGGGGGTAGTCCTGCGCCTTTTCCCCCTCGCTCTGTGCTAAATAGGAAACAAGGTCACCTGTGGCCTCTGAAGAGCTGTGACGAGGTTAAACAGGAAGCTGGATCTACCTGAGAGTCTGACCTTACCTTCTACATCCCACCCACCCCCACCTCCACCCTACACCTCATCTTCAAGACGCCTTCCAGTCTAAATGATGAAATGTCCTGAAATCACTCCTCTCTCTCTCTCTCTCTCTCTCTCTCTCTCTCTCGCTCGCTCGCTCTCTCGTTTCTCACACACACACACACACACACACACACACACACACACACACACTCTCTTTCTCTCTCTCTCTCTTTCGCAAAGTCTGTCCCTCGTTTGGCCGGGCTCTTGCATTGTGGGCCCTGTGGCAGAGATAGATTTGTAAATTTTACATGTAAACTCATCAGAGCATCGGAGCTTCACTGCAGAGCAGAGCAGAGCAGACTTCGGTTGGACAATCACATTTAAAGTTTTTAAGAGTTTTTATTAAAGTAACTGTCAAATGTTGATCTTCCGTTTCTGCTCTTCGGTGTTTTGAGATTGACACCACTTGGGAAAAAAAAAAGAATAAAAAAAGAAAAAGAGAGCTGCTCATCTGGGATAATTGGCAGCCCAAAACTATTATTCTGCTGCTCTCTGAAACAGGGATGATGTAATGTCGTCCTTCAGTGACAAAACAAACCAACAAAAGTTTAACATAGTATTTTAGTTTTAACAGTGTTGACTGTAGAGGTTGAGGTGAAGCTGTTTTGTTTTTCCCCCAATTTGCATTTTGAGAATCATCAAACATGTTGCGATTGGATGTATTTTCAGAATAAGTGTTTTATAAAATATCAACAAAACTAAATTTTAGCACATACTGTATGTTTTTTCTTTTTCTTCTGTAATACCCAATTTAATTCATGAAGGAATTTCATGACAGTAAAGTATACATACACAGAAAAACAATGCCTAAGATGTGAACGTCAGGTGCTTAATGTCACTGGAGTTTACTTTAGAAAACAGTACATATTTTACAAAAGGTTCAAATTTCTGAAAGTGAAAAATTAAAGGAAAAAGCTACATTAAGTGTGTGTACGGTGCTGGGCCACTGTGCGCACACTCAGTGCTCACTGACATAAATCTCTGAAGCTCTACTGGAGGGATGAACAGCATTTGGTGTTTTAATGATGGAGGAGTCAAACACATCATTTCAAAATCTCCTAGGTTTTCAGTTGGGTTGAGATCTGGTGACTGTGAAGGCATCAACGTATGATTCACATCTTTTTCATTGTCATTAAACCACTCAGTGACCCTTTGCCCCGTTGTTTGAAGGCATCTGAGTTTGTCATGTTTCTCCATTCATTTATTCAGGTTTTTGCTTTGAAGGAATATTTTGGGAACTACACTTTCTTGTTGAGAGTTGGGTAAGACAGTCAAAACTGGTCTCATGTCTGTTAATTATGAAGCTGCAGCCAGGAGATGGGTAGCTTAGCTTTGCAATAACGACTGCAGATGGGAAAACAGCTAGTTTTACACAACAGTATTCTTTCTAGGTAGTATGACGTGATTTAGAGAAATGTAGCCTACATTTGTGTCTTTCTATTATCTGTTAGTGTTGTTATTGATTAAGACTCTCCAAGAATGAGTGAGAAGCAATAGCAAAGGAAAACTGACAGCAGCCATCTTAAGTTGTCCGATCACGTGAACGGCAACATGGCAATCTTTCCTGTCTCTATCAACCGTTACATATCATATGAACGCTGAATTACACAAGTTTTTTCTTTTTCCTTTTCTCCCAACTGCTATTTTTCTTATTAATAAGAAAAAATCATCTTTACTGTACACGGATGTGGAAATTTGTCTTTGGCTTCACAGGCTGGTTAAAACACATCAATGTAACTCACAAACAATAGATATTTTACTAAATTAGCACGACATCCAGATTACAACAGTAACAGACTTGATTCCAGTGTGAATGATGCTTACGTGTTCGACAAAGATATTGCATTTGGTAGAAAGGATTCTCTGTTGATAGACCATCAGAAATGTTAAACACTTCAGCCATTGTTTTGTCCCTGATGAATTAGGTGTTCACTGAATCACTTTTATTTTAGATGAAGTGGTGATAGAGAAGAGCAATAGCAGACGTATTTGAGCGAAAGTGGTGTGGGAGAGAGGCTGGTCTGAAGAGGCTAGAGGTTAGTTTTGATCTGCCTAAGTGGACAGAGTTGGTCTAACAGACTAATGCTCTCCTCTATCCTCTGTGGTTTGAACAGTCAGCCTCTCTCTCCCACTCTGTCTGTAGGTCTCCTGAAGCACTGACAGCTCCTCTGGGGGTCATTAAGTGTATCTTATCATCTCAACCCCATTATTCCTCCTCCCCTTTGCCCTCTTCAGCACAAGCGATCAGATTGTACAGGTCAGCTTTATTCCTCGTGATGATGAAGCAGTCGACCATGTAAATGCCTAAAAGGCTTCACTGCATAACTCAATTTTTTGGCAGTTTGACTCGAGTTGAATATTTACATATTAATCTACAGTACGTGTTGAGTCAATTATCGTCCTGGTATAAGGGCACATGACACTGCTTTAATGAAATTTAAAGCGAGACTATAACTTTTGCTGAACAGCAGCCACTGAGACAAGTCACAGTAATAATAATACTAAATGCTTAATTACTGTTTTAGCATATAGCTAAAATGCTAAACATGTTCAACAGTAGCACAAGTGGAGAAGGGTCTTTAAGTCAGCGAAGTGACTGTATCATGCTGTATAGTTTGTGTTATAGAGTAACATTCACTTCAGCTTTGTTAACATTAGCTAACATTAACCACAATAAGCTAAAGGTCATTCCAGACCAAATAAGGCTGTATCAACAAAACCCCTGAATGTATTGAACTGAGAGACGGTTATTTTTTTGCTTTTCGATTCAACCTTTTCCTTGTAAGAGCAAGAGCGTGTCTTTCAAAAGTTACATAGTTACATACTTTACAGTGTAAACCAGGATATTTTATATCAAACAGCAGCAGCAGGGATGTAAGGGGCAGATTACCGATCTTTTTTTTTTTTTTTTCCAAAATCGCTTTAAAGACTCTTTTGACATTTTGGCGTATATGCCTCTCACGCTACAGCCAGGTGATCGTTTGTGTAGCTTAGCATAAAGACTGATAGCTTTGTTCAGTTCAAAGGTAAAGTAGTTCACCTACCTGAACATCTAAGGCTCAACATGTTATCTTGTTTGTTCGTACAGTTGCAGTTTGGTTATGTGTCGTAAAACTGCAACTTCAAGTGTCTACACTTTGGAAACATCATTAAACAAAAGTCGTTTAATGAAACAGCTATTACTATAGTAATAGCTTTCCCGCCTAGAGTTAAATGAAAAGATATATAGACTCATTGTCAGTGTGCAAGAGAGTATGCATACACATAGTATAGCAGTTTTTCATTTACACTTCTCAAACAAACAAGATTTAACATTTTGACTGGCGATCGTTAGAGGTGCTGGTAGGTGGATTTGGTTACCTACAGACAGAGACAGGCATGTGTTGAATGGGAACATCGTCTCCTTTAAGTCTTTGCAGGAAGGTGAACAGTTTAAGTGTATTTCCCAAAATACTCAACTATTGCTTTAAACCTCCATTTAATCCAGACATAAACCTTTTAAATGTAAATGACAGTGACCTTCCTAATGAGCAGTATCAAACTGTAACGGAGATTTAAAGGAAATCAAACATGTAAATGAATGCCTCCTAACAGATTTCTGTTGCTTGTTTGCCTGTGATGATCCCAAGCTGGAGGTCACAGATTACATATTCTTTTTTTATATGCCACTACATTAATGGCAGTGTGCTGGAAAGCTGTTAGTGCTATATTGCCTTCTATATTCTCTAAGTATAGTCTCTTTATTTGTAAGCGCTCCATTCATGCATCCCTGCGTTGAGGCTTTTTAGGCTGCCTCTTGAGAGTCATGGGTG